GAGGGAGGGAGGGAGGGAGGGAGGGAGGGAGAGAGAGAGAGAGAGAGAGAGAGAGAGAGAGAGAGAGAGAGAGAGAGAGAGACTGACTAGGTGTAGAATCCTTGCCTTCCTTACTTTAAGAATGGCATTGTTAGAGCTGTTGCTATTATAGTTGGTGTTTCTAATGGTTGATATTGATTGTCAACTGGGAAAAAAAATCTAGAACCAGTCACCAGGCAAACTCATCTGGATTAGAGGTATCTCTGCTCACACTTGAAGGATGCTCTTAGCTATACTAACTGAAGCAGGAAGACCCACTCTGAGATCTGGTGATACCTCCCAGCTGCAGCAGCCCAGACATAAGGACCTTCCTGGTGAGCTCATCTTGCCCATGGCTACTTCTGTTGTCATTTTTCTGACACAGGGACTCAGTTTCTTTGGCCTGTCAACATGGGCTGAAGATCAGTGGCTTTCCAGGATGCTCCAGGCTGTTCACAGCAGATTGGAACTGATCCAGCTTTGGGGACTGGGTGAGCTACCATGTAAATGAAAGCAAAAATGTGCCCGATAGATGCTTGTTTCTGCCTATTGATTTTGTTGTGGGGTATATTAAGCCAATTGAATTCTCAGTGTTTAAGGTTTGATGAATTAAGGGGTATCTGGCACTGGCTAGACAAGAGCCATGTCTTTGTATTTGAGTGAATTGACAACAGGAACTAAAGTTGGACTTGATTTTTGAAGTCATTAGTGACTTAGATAAAGGACAATATTGCCACAGAAATGCAGTCATGTAGGCACTTCTATGGTTTGTGACTTCCATTTCCTTTGTTGCAGCCAAATTCAGACCCTGTATGTATGAAAGCAGAGAGGAAACTAATTGTGAGACCACAAGAGAAGAATGGGAGACCAGCGAGGGTAATGTAATGGGAGGGGTAAACACAAAGTACAATACACATGCACGAGGAGGCCACAGTGAGCCATGTGTCCGTGATTGGTCTCCAACTCCATCAGTACCCAAGGGTAGCCTGAACGTTGACTCTCATCTGCAAGCCTCCACGTCTAAAAGTTCTAGCATAGGCACACCCTACCACATCCAATTTATGTGCTGTTGGAGAGAGAATGCAGGGCTTCGTGCTCATATGACAAGCACTCTACCAACAGAGCCACATCCAAAATCTCCTGAAGCGCTTTATTTACATGCTAACTAAAAAGATAATAAAAAGAAACATTAACAATAAAAAGCAGAACAACAGAAAAAGAAAAATGTGCCTTGCCCAGTATAAATGCAGACTTACCACCTTTCTCCTTGGCAACCATGAGTTATAATTTATACCAGGGAAAAAGAAAGAAAAAGGGCACAGAGATTCTGTGAGTGAAATCTGAGCAGTGTTTGCCACAGGCCAATGTCAGACTTTCTGAGTCTCCTGAGCAAGTAGCATGTTGAGGCCCTGCAGCCCAATACGCCTGTAGAAGGGGCCAATGGTCTGGGCATCAGAGCTCTTGGTGATGGCCTCTCCTGCTTTATTCCATGGGCAGTTACATGTCACAAGTCTCTTAAAGAGTATGTATACCTGGCAATACAGACACTAGATCATAGAGACTAGGCATCGAGAGTGTGGAACATATAGGAAGACACCAGGCAAGTTGAGCACATGGAAATGCTGAGAAGGACAGATAACTCTGAGGTGCCTTTCTGCTCTAGTGGGCCCAGGTAGCCATGCAGTTTTAGCTGGTTGAATTAACACTTGAGAGGACAGAGGAGAGTCACCTGAGTTGTGAGGGTATTTGTTCCAGAGATCACAATATGATCACGAGAACACTTCCGTGTTTGGAGTGACAGTGTATCCCTCATTTTGGTAGGATGAGGTAGAGGGAAGGATGAAGTTGAGACAGATGAGAAAGTGCACAGCCATTCACAGATGAGTCAGGTATAGGTTCTCAGAACCGCGACCGTATCTATTGCTCATAGCTAGTGATGAGCACAGCCTGTTTGGAACATTTACGAATGCTTAGGTATTTGCATTTAAAATGGCTTTGAATTATAGTTTATGAGAAAGGGAAGAAATACCTGATTGGTGATGTGTTTCTGGATTTTTCCTGTAGTCACTGAAAAAGAAAGCAGAGAGAAATTTTATATGAAGTCACACCCATCAAGACAAAGTATGGGACTTGTGATCCTGCTTGGTCTTCAGCCAAATCACCCCAAGCTGCCATGGGCTCTGTGGACAAGGCTCTGAATCACCATAGGGACATGGACAGGTGTGGCAAGAGGCAAGGCATTATGTCAGAAGCTGAAAAGAACATGCTAGGCAAGGATGACTGAAGTGCAATGGATGGACACTCACTAAGGACGATAAGTAGAGGGTTGTACTCAGCTGTGCCAAAGGAGCAAAGGAGTGAAAGACCAGAGCCTGTCAATGGTTCCAGACGAAAGAAGACAATCTCTGGAACGCCAAGCACTGATGAACTCAGGAGGCTCTACCTGATCTAAAACTCAGGATCCTGTACTTCAGCCTCTCCCCGACTCACCCTCTACTGCAGAGGTTACAAAGCACGAGTTGTGAATTACTATTTCCAAAGCATCTCTTTGTCTGGGAAACTACAAAGACCTTCTTGTACATCGTTACAGTGTTGCTGGAGACTGAAATTCAAACCAATATCTCAGGTGATATCTTGGTCAGGATGGGAAATGTTCAAAGTAATGGACATAAGGCAGCAGATCAGCATGAAAAATAAGAATCCAACAACAAACTGCAAAGTCGTGAAGACATCCCAGCATGGCCACTGTCACGTGTATTAAAATCTTCAGCAATAATGGATCAACAACCAAATAAATTTCCAGGAAGGAAAAGAAAGAAGAAATTTGGTAGCACCAAAATTACTGTTTGCAAATAGCTTTATGCTGAATATTTTATTAAGCATGCCTTAAAAAAATAAACCTTAACTGAAGTAAGTACAGAGCCAGACAATGCAGAGGTAGAGCAATATTGTTTGAAACTATGATTGCAATCCCAGCATTTGGGAGGATGAGACAGAAGAATTAACGGCTTGAAGTCAGATTGGACTACAGAGTGAAATTCTGTCTCAAAAACAAACCAAAACCAAAACCAAAACCAACCCAAACAAAAAATAATGCAGAAAAATTTCTTGTACCCTTTATTCAGATTGCCCCATTAAGAACATCTTAAAATCAAGAATGTTATAGAATTTAAATCATATATGCTATGTAACCCCTGGGGATTGATATCTTTTCAACAAGTGTAACTTTCTACATTGCATTGTCCTGGCTGTGTGTATCAGTAGTTCTTTCCTTTTGCTTTCTAACTACTATTCTACAGTATGGATGAACCCTATTAATGTGTGTTCTCTGGGTTTAGCTAAACAGGGTAAAGCTGCTGTAAATATTTCATATAGGGTTTGGATGGGACACAAATATTCATTTCTCTGGAACAAACACCCAGGGATAGAAGTGTGAGTTGTGTGTTCAATCTTTTAAGAAGATGCCAATCTGTGTGCTGTTTATCCTAACAGTTTACTGGGTGAAAGTGTTTGTCACTAAGCCTAGAGACCTAAATTTGATTCCCTATTCCTATAGGCTAGAAGGAGAGAAATGACTCCCACCAGTTGTACATTATTGTCACTGTTGTTGTAGTAAAAAGAATCTGGCAGTCTGTTTCTTTAAAAGATATAATATATAAATGAAACTCTCTGGTTATTTTATCATTATTTATCAATTATAAGTCTACATTGAACTTGTATGACAATTGAGCACTAGGCAAGGCGTCATTCAGGGCATAGCAGAGACATAAGAAGCACAGAATAATAGAATGGCATACTGACAGAGGCTATTTGATTAAGCTGTTGCCAAGAAATGCCAGGGGCCAAGCTTGGAGGTGCCAGATAATAAAAAAAAAGATTTTCTTTGTTTTTAAAATATCCATTGTACAGTCACGATATGTTTCAGTGAGATTTAACAGGTTGTATGAAAACAGCTTTAACAAAGAGACAACATGCTTGAGGGAAAGCCTCTGCATTGGCTTTTAGGACCTGGAGGTTGGAAAGAAATGCCTTCTCCCTTAGGGCCTCCCACAAGCACTGCTGGTCAATACTTTGCTGTTAGTTGGCTGAGTTATCCCTGAGCTTATGACCTCTAGAGCCACGGGGCTGACAAATTTGTGTTGTTGTTTTAAGCCACTAACATTATAGTATGGCCAACTTCTGTATCTGGATTTCTAATCCACAAATTGTTTTTATTACTGTTCCTGAGATGATACACACAGGGACCATTTGCAGTACTAGCACAGTACATAAACTAGACATGATTGAAGTATGTGGGAAGAAGTATGCTGTATTACACAAATACTGCATTTTATGTGGGGAGCACGAGCATCTTTAGACTTTGGTTGTTCAGAGAATAATTCTCCCAAGTCAAAGACTGCTGGGAAGAGAACTTAGGTCCTCTGGAAGAGCAGCAAGTGCTCATTCCCACGGAGGTGTCTTTCCAGCTCCTATTAGTATTGATGATAGAGCAATTACTGTGGTTCATTATAGCAGAAATAGGAAATAAGCTCAAAGATATTATCTTGTTCTAATCTGACATGCATTTAGGGTCATGGAGAGAAATAGGTAGCTACTATACTCAGCTTTGTGGCTACTTCTGGTGCTGGGTTCCCCACCTCTACATTTTCTCCTGGGAACAACTGCAATAAGCAGAAATCATTTTTGTTTGTTTGTTTGTTTGCTTGTTTTGGGTAGAAGACTAGGGATAGAATGATTAGTTCATCTTGTCCACATTGACATTGTTTATTGTTGGAAATCATTGTTTGGCTGCATAATTTTTGCTCAGCACTCAGCAACGTGGGTTGCATGAAATGGCTTGTCTGCTTCATGCTCGCTCCTTGTTTCATGCTTTGTGCCTGGTCCTTGTTTCATGTGATTTTGTTGGAATGGACTACAAGCCAAGGGGAATAAGAACATTTCAAAAGGTTTCTGGAGTGGAAAGCTGATAAAATGCAGGAACATCTGCCTAGACTATTTCTGTTTGACTATGTGGTTGCATGACGTCTTTGACCAGTGGAGCAGGAGGCTGTGGACTCACTGGCTCATCAAAAGTTCAACATGTTGTTGAGATCCCTAGTCCATTCATGAGTGGACACCAGGCTGGCCTCGAACTCAGAAATCCGCCTGCCTCTGCCTCTCAAGTGCTGGGATTAAAGGCGTGTGCCACCACTGCCCGGCCTTGCCAGCAGTATTTTAAGGGACTGACTTTTCTATAATTTAGTATTCTTGGATAACTACATCCCATTCTTACAAGTTCACTCATCTCTCCTTCTGCTGTACATTAGTTGATTTAATTACTTCAACTTGACAGAAAACTTCAAGGGATATTCTTTTGTTGCCTAAACAATTTAAACCAGTGATTTACAACCTGTTTAAGATAACAGGCCCCTTTGAGGATCTAAGAACAACTACGAATCTGCTTCTCTGAAAATGCTGACATAAAGCAACGGCAAAGTCTTTATCAGACCTTTATCAGCCAGGCACAGATCTACAAGAATTTGAACATTTTAAGTTTATTTTGGATGGTAGGTCACAACATGTGAAATAGCTTCTCAGATTCTCGCTCTTTTAATAACTTCAAGTCCCTAAAAACTTTAGATTCATCACATGTCAACTGTTTCCTGTAATTTAATGAACTGAAAGTTTCCATCCCAGATTGTGGAGTACAGTATGTTAATTTTAAAGTTATTCTAATCTAACTATGCCAGACACCTCCTAAATGATGGTTATTCAAAGATAAATACAGCAGAATATCAACAAAGTCATGTTCTAGAGGAAGAGAGGAAGAGAAAGTGAGACAAACTGTAAAATGTAAGAGGCCATAATTGATGATGACGATGATGATGATGATAATGATGATGATGATGGTGGTGGTGACAGGATCTTACCAAGATGTAGCTCAGGAAGGCATAGAACTCATTGTTTCACTTATGCTGATGTGAAAACTATAATACTCTTGCCTTGGCTATCCTGGTGCTGAGATGATAGAGATGAACTATTGAGAAATGTTTTTAATCAATGAATTATGACGGACATGATCAATAAACACAGAGAAGGACCAAGAACTATCTCTAGTCTCAAAGAAAGTCTAGGTTTCCCATGACTATTTTGTCAGTACATACTATATTCTTTTATAACATATTCAGAAATGTATTACCAGCAATTCAGGACTACGATATTAGTGGCATTATGACTAACCTTTAAATGAACAAGATTATAATACTTTTTATTGCCTTATCTTTTGAATGGGTGTGGTATTTTGAATAATAAATGTCTGCTGTAGGCTTTTATGTTTGAACACCTGGTCCCTAGTTGTTAGCAGTGTTGTGGGGTTATGAGGTGGCTTAGCTTTGACTTGAGGAAGTGCACTCATGCAGGTGGGTCTCAAGAGGAAGGCTTCATAGAGTCCATCCACTTTTAGGTCACTTTCTCTGCTTCATGTTTATGGTTGAGGATATGCTATCTCAGCCTCCTGTTCCAGTCACCTGTTCACATGCCACCCTGCCATTATGGACTCTCTATCTGAAATCCTATGCCCAAATAAAATTTTCTTCTGTAAACTGTGTTGATCATGATCTTTTATTATAGCAACATGAAAGTAATTAATGTAATAGGTACCTTTGAGCAAATGCTTGGTAATACTGTAAATACAAGACAATAAATCCAAGTTCAGAGATAGGACCTGACTTTGACCTTCAGGAACTATAGTCATGAGAAGGCATAATGTGAGAGAGTATTAGGAAGTTGGGTAGATGAAGGAGTTGAGATGGAAGTATCCTTATCCATGGAGGTTTGGGTGACCTGAAGCCCAATCAGTTGTCTCATGTTTGAGGTATCTGACAACTTGCAAGCTAATATGGGCTCTTCAAAAGAGGGGATATATGAAGGAAGAGTGGAATGGTAAACAAGTTGGACAGAGTATGGAGAGAAGCTAGAGCATAATTGGGGACTTTTATAATGGTGCAAACACTAGGAGATAGCTTCTGGGCCTTAGACTAAGAAAGAAGATTAAGAGGAAAGTCAGTTGAAGCATGTGGAAGAAGTTG